GTGTGCTCTTCCGATCTCCCCAAAACCCCAAAACCCCACTAGATAGAATATTGTATGCATTTGATAATGATATTTAGTGAATTAAAGTATGCTCAGTTTATAATAAGCTCAACTCTTTTATAAAGTCATATTTGATTTTAGAAGTGATTTTCACTTTCAGAAATAATTCATTTCGATTTTGATTTCCGAGATTATCTTACTAGATTACTCTCTCTATAGTTACAGATTAATTAGTGATGCAATCTCTTACATATCCAGGCTTATTGATCTATTTCTGTTTTTCTTACTTCCTGTAAATAGCCTCTAGATATATTCGTTCAAGTTTATTGTCGATCCAACGTTGCCATTAATAGAAAGGGATCTCCTCTTTCTAGACTTAGTTATACATCTCTCTTGGATCAATCTATTAAGTAAGATAAAACTTGTAATGTTTCATACAATTAAGATTTTCTCATATTCCTTGTGATTTAGTTTATAACTCAATAGAGTCATCATAAAGAATTCCTCATTAGGATCCTTTCTAGACTATTAAGTTGGAGACTTCAAACCACTACCACCACTATTTGAGGCTCTACCCCCTAAGGACTCAGCTGCCTGTCTACTACCTAAATCAACCTAGTTCTTTGATGGAGATGAGCTCTCATCATCCTTTGGAGGGGGATTGGAAGAAAAACCTCTTAAATGATGAGATTATACAACACCTAATTAATCTGTCTGGAATACTTATGAGTTATAATGACTGTGAGAGTAAATATTCCCAATCGATTGAGAGCCACTAACTATGCTTTGATATTATGCATTTGATCTTGAATCGTTAATTGCTGCTATTTCATCTTATGTTACCTAAGCATGAGGGCTTTGGTAATTGACATTTGAAACACCTATTGTTGTCGAATCAGTAGCTTTTTTCTAATGTGAGCCAAACTTCTTTTCCTCTTCTTTTGACCTTGGTTTGAATTATTTCGATCCTGATGATGCTTCAATGAAAGCATTTTTGTTATCAATTTTAGCTTTATCATGGAAGCTTGGAGTGTCCATCGGAAGAGTATCTTTAATCAACTCTTTTTAAGGTGACTTCTCTTGAAGTCCAGGACTCTCATCCGTGATAATAGAAAGACCTACTTTTTTAAATAATGATCTGTTTCTTTTAGAGAGACTTTCATTGTCATCTTCATCTTCTACTTCATTTATTTGATTTGGCTTAATCTCTAGCTAATTCTAATTCTTTCTTTTATCATACATAGATTAACCGTTTTTAATTGTGTTTAAGGTAGTCTTAGCTTTAATTCCTTTTTTGCTGTACATACTTTCTCTAGAGTATGGATCAGGGCTATATCTATCCATGTTGTCCATTACTCCATCGATCATCATACTTCCTTATCTGTCATTAAAACTTTCAAAGTTAATTTCTTCCCTACTGTTTTTCCTGGTGCCAGCTAAATACCCGATATCGTCAACGTTTAAAGTACCCCTACCATTTATTTGATCGTAAATAAAATCATCTTCATTAAGATCTAGACCCCTATCTAAGATACTTACAGGTCTAAAAGTCTCTCTATAATGAGGCATTTAATCTTAATTTGTCATTTCTTCATCAATAACATCATTCTCTTCTGAATCTTCATTACCATCTTAAACATCTTCATCATCTTATTCATATTCATCTCTTTCTGATACTCTTAGGTTCATAACTTGCTATCTGTTCAGTATATCTTGGAAATGCTATCCTATTTTTTAAACGTATTCAGTCTAGAATCTTAATGAAGAAGGCAATCTAAGCTTAACTTAAGCTTCTTCAATAACTTTATCCAGATCATTGAAAGGATAGAACTCTGGAGGAGGAGCAACTTTTTTATCATCTTATGCCTTCTGGTCTGGAGTCTTGCTACCCTTCAATTCAAAAAGATTCTTAGTCTCTTGAGTTTTTACCTGCCCCTCTCTGATAAATTACCTATCGTAAATCTAGAACTTTTTACTATTCTTATCCACAATAACGAGAGGGCATGATCCTTTTCGGAAATGTCGAACTTATCTAAAATCCTCCATCTATGACTTAACTCTTATGAAATTTTACTTCTACTCAGGCTCTGTTGATTCTTAAAAGAACTCTGTTTTCTTTATAACGTGAGTTTGCTTAACAATTTTATTTTATGCTTTAGGCTAATGGGCCTACTATTTATGAGTTTATTGAACCCTACTTTGCTATTTAACTAAAGGTTTAGTAGTATCAATAACAAATGTAGATTTCTGTTTTTTCTTAATGACTTCCATATTTAAAGGACTGGATTTTTTAATTTCATACTCATGCTTAGATTTATTTCTAGTTAGGGTTTTTTAGATTTGTGCTAAGGGATTAGTAATTTAATTTGGCTTAGAGAATGCAGTTTTTTATTTTTAAGCAAACTTATTATTCTCAATCTCAGTTTCTAATTGTTTTATTGTTAATTAAAATTCATCTAACTCATGTTCCCTTTCTTCAATCATTTCTTGCAGATCATCGATCTAAAAGTTTAGCTCTTTATTTGTTTCCTTGAGCTTTCTATTTTCATTAATAAGCATATTGCATTTCTTTAGCTCCATCTCATATTTAATACTCTACTGTTCTAAGATTTAATCATATTCTTTAAGTTTTTTCGACTTATCTGCTAATTAATTTTTAAGTTCTTACAGATCCTATGCAGAAATCAAAGCATTGTTATTCATAGTATATCTTTCTGTAGTCCTGCTGTTGTCCATATTCTTCTCATATTCTTCCAAGAACATGTTTTTCTGATCTACTTCAATCTTCAAATCATTTATAATAGATTCTAACTCACTAACATGAGCTTTTGTTGATAAAGCTTAATCATTTAACTGTCTGTTTTCTTGGAAAAGTGATTAATTCTGATCTTCAACAAGGGTCTATCTCTACATCTATTTCTCAAGATCTTGATGCAATAATATATTGTCTTCATAGAGCTCTTTATTTTTGTCAATGATGAAAGCTAAAATAAAATGATGTTAGGGTATTATTTAAAGGATGAGAGTAAATTACCACAAACTTCAAGGGCTTTTCTGAATTTAGTTTCCATTGTCTTGATCTCTCCAAATAGCTCAGACATCTCTTCAAGTGGGTCTTATTTTCTAATATTTTTCCGCCTCATTATTAGAGAGACAGCAAGCTCATCTTAATAGCTCTTCATCATATTCTCAAAGAACTACATGTCCGAATCATAGAGTGCTTGCTTAAATGATGGACTACTTGAAAGATTTCTATCATGAGAGGAGGTATTCCTATTTAGAGAAGGTCTTCCTTAGGGATTAGGGTTGTCGACCAACTTGACATACTAAGGATTGTCATAGTTGGCCTTGTTTGTCTATTTCTTATTAGACTGAGAATCCATATGATTTATTTATTATACAAATTTTATATTACTTTATTGAATCTTAATAATTTTTAGTAACTTAAGCGAGGGGTTTTGGGGTTTTGGGGTTTAAAATTAGTGTCATAGTTAAGCTTGTATAGAGATGAACTTGCTGGTTATCTATATTTAAGAAGGTTGTTTATTGAATTATTAATCATTGTTTGCTACTTTTTTTATCATAGATATGAAGATATTTCTAGAACCTATTCACTAGGAAGTTTTTATACGTTGAGATGTGGTATCTATACTAGATTGATTCAAGCTTAAACTCTGATTTCATTCTGTTTGCTATTTATTGAACATATTGAATGTGATTGGCAAAATATTCTGCCCATATTTCAATAACTTCTCTAATATTCTTGTTTTTAATGCCTCATGCATCAACATGTAGTTTAGACCTTCATTATTTCGCTCAATCTATTGGTCTCTATAAAGTTTATGCATCTTTTCATGGTTTATAGGAGGGCAAACTTATCAGCTTCATAAAGTTCATTTTTTTAAACCATATTCCCTTTTAAAGGTCATTGAATATTGTTAAGGAACAAAAGCCTTTAGTAACACCTTTAAGTTTGTAATTATTTTTATCCCAGTCTTTATTATTATAGACTAATGCCTAAATCACCTACCTTAAGTCTTTAATCTCTAAAAACCAAGATATTCTATGGTTTCATATCCCCGAAGTATATATCTCTTTAGTGTAGGTAATCTAGCAAACACATCATTTAATAGAAATAATAATCAACTTTCTCATTGGAATAATATTCCATAATTTATTAGCTTCTGAATTGATCAGCCCAAACGTACAGAAGATCTTACAATGTGTGCTAAGCTCTTTCTACAATGGCGCAATAATTTGTAATTTCCTTTTTGTAAGAATTGAATTCAATAATTTCCTCCTTGACTTAAGCTATGAAATTCTCATTCTTAAGAAGCCTCAATTGCTGGGTCTCATTCATTATATTATAGAAATTTTCTTTCAATTCATCAGCATTAGAGTTTTCTTTAATTAGAGCACATTTGGCCACAACTTCATCCAAATACATATTTTCTACTCTATAGACAACAGCTTCTCCACCTCTAGCTAATTCACTAACATGAATTCCATTTACAACCCTGGATTTTGTATTAAGATAGTCTAATAGTCTCTAAGAATTTTGAAAATCCGCTGTATTAGAAAGTGCTGTCTCATGAGATTCAGTAAAATTAGATTTTAATTAGATGTTAATCTGCCTATCAATATTTCAGGAAAATCTTAAAATCCCACTTTCCTTTTGTCAAGAATTTCTTTTAATATCAAATTTTAACTTTTATAAAACAGTATCTACGCATCTTTGTAAATCTCTTGATGACTTAGGTCTTAAACATCTACAATATATTTTTAAAGGCCAACCCCCAAGGCCCGCCTCCATATTAGTTTCAACATTTGTAGAGACATTAGACTATTTCTAAGTAGATAAATCTTGTATTGAAATTGTTTTTTGTCAAGGATTTTCGTTGATAGTTTACTAGTGATATATTTACCAGGAGTGTTCATAAAACTGAAAGCGTTTGGTTTTGCAGTTACAGTTATTTCATCTTCTAGTAGCTCAAATGATATTTCTGGAAAGTCCAAACCATTAATATCGATTTTTATGTCATGAACTACATCAAGTGTCTTCATCTAAATCATCATAATTTGTGCTTAAAAAATTTCTCAAATTTTTCAAATCCCTCTATGGAATTTAAATTTCATCTTCTAATTCATTCATCTTTCTATTTTAGATATATTAAGAGTCGTATTAGCTCGCATTTTCTTGTAAGAATGCTGCCAAATATTATATGGGGCTTAAGGGCTTTGAATACAATATCTTCTTAAATCCTTCAGCTAAGCATTCCCAGACTTTAGTATCAGATAAATACTTTTCAACATCAAATTGCTTTTATCTCATCTTTATCTTTTATTGAAATTATGAATTTATTTTAATCGACTAAATCACAAATAATCTCACCCAATGGGGTTTTGGGGTTTTGGGG